CGCACACGTTCCTGCATCAAAGAGTGGCTATACTTGTAGGTGAGTATTGCAATGATCGTCGGCTCAAACTGAGAAGCATCACAAGGGAAGAATGTGACCAGCACACCAAGGTTCTCCAGTATGGGTACAAAGCTTTAATAAGCAATCACACAGTTACAGCAAGGGCAACGTTTCGGAGTCTCACAGGACCCCTTCATCAGGCATGTGTCACATGCCTGATGAAGCGGTTCTGCGAGACTCCGAAAATGTTGCTCTTGCTGTAACTATATGATTGCTTATTAAAGCTTGGGACCCACATTGGAAAACCTCGGTGTGCTGGTCACATTCTTTTCGTATGAGAGTGGGTCACAGAGCACGGCATGAACAAAGTTATTAATGAAGAGTCAAACACAGTAGACAGAGCAGTTTTTAGTTGGACTTTATTTAATGAACTCTGAATTGATTTATTTGGATTTTATTGAATGATTTTTGCACAATATCTACTGCACTGAACACTTTAGTATCCTGGAAATCAGTGGCAAATTATTAAGGTTTATGGGTAACAAAGTGTTACTATTTTGCATTTTTGTATGGCACACAGTGCTGCAAGGTAGATTTTAGTGATTTAGGTGTCCTTTTATCATGCAGTGGTAAATGACCGCTGCTCTGTTCTCCGGCATTCTCAGAGGGGAGAGTTCTCCTCTGAATGCCTGTTCATGAAGCGGTGTAGATCACTTCTCCGAATTAAGAGAGAAGCAATCTACGAACGCTAGAGAACGGCTGCTTTTACTGCAATCTTGCAAGATTACAGTAAGAGATCAGTCAAACACCGTTTACTATTCAGCGGTAAATTATCGCTGCTTCGCTTGCGGTTCTCCCGATTCTCCAGCTCTGAGCTGGAGAATCTGGAGAGAGAACACAGATTGCCAGTGAAGGGCTGACATCACTCCTTCATAAAGAACCAGCAAACACAAATGCTCCTGCGTTTGGGGATGGACTCGATGCAGGCTACAACCACATTAAGAATGTCCTGGAACATGCACACCTTGCTGCCCTCAAATAGACCGGGGGAATCCAAGTATACTGAATGAGGAAAGAAAAAACAGAGGGCGCACAGGCCTAGTGCATTACCATAAAAAATAAATAAAGTAGGTGTTGTACTCACAAATGACAATATAGTCAAGGCACATCATAAAGAACAGCTGGGTCAACACTGCGCTGAATAACAGTCCGCAATAGGGAGTGTAGACATCCAATAGGCTGACGCGTTTCGAGGACTTGCCTCTTCCTCAGAGCCAACTGACCAAATGTCTGCTCCCTCTTTTATATGCTCACTATTAGTTGAACCAAAGGTCACATGGGCCGTCCTGGTTCAACTAGTAGTGAGCATATAAAAGAGGGAGCAGACATTTGGTCAGTTGGCTCCGAGGAAGAGGCAAGTCCTCGAAACATGTCAGCCTATTGGATGTCTACACTCCCTATTGTGGACTGTTATTCAGCGCGGTGTTGACCCAGCTGTTCTTTATGACGTGCCTTGACTATATTATCATTTGTGAGTACAACACCTACTTTATTTATTTTTTATTAAACATTTTTTATGGTAATGCACTAGGCCTGTGCGCCCTCTGTTTTTTCTTTCCTCAATCACTCCTTCATACACTGGCAGTCTGTGTGTTGAGATGATCAGTGGAGAACATGTTCTCCGTTGATCATCTCTGTTTTCTAAACCACTAATGATCGGAGATCAGCAACGATCCTTAGGATCGCAGCTGATCTCTGTTTCATAAAAGGACACCTTAATATCCACATTTGGTTATACAGGATCCAAACACGCCTGAGTTCATCCCTAGTTGTTACTATATGCAAAGGTGATTGTTCAATTATATTTTAAATGAGGCATATGATGTACCCTCAGTACAGTTAATAATATTACCCTTCAGCCATAATCATGTAATTGTTTTCTCCTCCACAGTATATTGAATTCTCTGTACAGACTAAGCAAGGGTCCACAGTTTGTTTGAGAATTCAGAAGAGGAGGTTACAGAGCTTCCTACTCTGTGTCTTTGTGGTGGTTCTGCTTGCCCTACACGTGCACACCAGGACCGCAATTCAGATTGAGCAACGCGGAGAGGAGGAGGAGGAAGAGGGAGAGCATCTGCGCCTGCACCAGCATCTTGTGAACGCAGGAGGTGAGGCAAGTGAGAAGGAACCTACGATTCTTGACAATGTTGTTGGGACCTCATTTTAACAAAGAGTTTAGCCCCAACTACATGTTGTTGCTGCATTTTTTTACTAGTTGTGGGCTGTGGACTAAACAAGTAAATTGTGAAATTGTATCTTCTAGCAGCTACAGGAATAAAATGTGTGTCCTTTATTTCTCTTTTAATGAGTGTGTGGCCATCTTTCCTAGGTATGAGCTCAGGCATGTTTGGACTCTAGTCCTAACCCCCCCGAACAAGCATGCCAGGAAGCTGTCATCTTTACTGTACAAATCTTAAGTGTCCGAGGCATTCCCCATATATACATGAGGTTGTGGGGCGAAAGATGACTCAGCCACTTATGATTGGCAAAGTAGATTGATAGTTTCCTGGCGGGATTGTTCAGGTGTGTTTAGTCTAGGATCGAAAAACACCTGCGCTCATCCCTAATAGTTACAATCTACTTATAAATCTACAGTTTATGCAATCTGGATATTATACAGCCTCATCCAGATTGTATGAATACATTGGAATGGAGATGTCTGTTCAATTATATCTAAGAGATTGTACAGTCATATTAACATGTGTGGCCAATTGTATTCAACTCTGCTAAACTCAGGCTTTAAAAAAAAAATCTACATTTAAATCTAAATATAAACTTTTCAATTCCAAGTTACCAATGTAAAGAGCGGACTCACTTTTCATTAGTGATAATATAACAAAATATTTGTGTGCAAAGCCCACTTACCCTTAGCAGTCAATTAGATTGCAGTTATTAAGGTTATTGATAAATAACTTGGTAACAAAATTAAATCTGGACATATTTGCTGTTACTAACTCTGATTTCACAATGCACACCCTGTACCAAGCTTTGCAATTATAACTCAGTACCTCGAATGCTGATCTGCTCATCAAACATGTGTCTCATGGCATCAAGCAATAATCTTATTGTACTGTCTTTGTACAATCAACTTTGGATTTACCAAAATGTAAAATGAGGACCTACCTAATCTATCCAACTAATTTGTATTCAATCAGGCAGGCCTTGCATTACATAGTTGTAGGTGGATCGAAAGGAGATTGCAATCAGATTGTAAGGTGTGTGGTGAACTTTAAAGAGGACCCCCTCTCTATATAAAAAAAATCAGTAATATGTTAATCAGTGTACCTAAACAAGTACACTTTTATACAGTATGTCTAATCATACATACAGTATGTTGCTTAGCATCACATTCAGCCCTTTTATGCCTCTTCTGTGCTGCCTATGGCCCTGTGCCACCATTTTGAAAATTTACATCATGCCTTAGGTAACAATATTGATCCTAGATTGTAAGCTCCAAGGAGCAGGGCCCTCAATTCCCTCTTGTATTGAACTGTATCGTTGCTGTATTGTCTCCCTTTATATTGTAAAGCGCTGAGCAAACCGTTGGCGCTATATAAATCCTGTATAATAATAACTGCTTATGCGTAAGATGGAACACATTACATAATGCAGCTCATCTTGCACATGTACCTCACGGCACAACATTCATCTGTTTTTTTTCCTTAAAATAGCCTTTCCCTAAGATCTTGCAAGATCTTAGGGCCGGTTCACACTATAGAAACGCAGTCCAGATGCGTTCTAGATGTGTTTTTGCATTCGCGATTTTGGAGTGGTCCAGTGCATTTTTGATGCATTCCTATGCATTTTTTCCCCTCTCTTTTTCTGCAATTTAAATAGGGACCTGTGCATTCCAGTGCGTTCCGGTGCATTTTTGATTCGTTTTCCAGTACTGTTCTGTGCAGAAAAAAATGCAGCATGTTCTTTTTTTTTTCCTGCATCTGGAACACACTGGAACTGCAAGCACTGATGTAAACTATGACATTGACAACCACATAACCTACTTTCTGTGCATTTTGGATGCAGAAAAAAAGCAACTGAAACACATGTAGTGTGATCTGGCTCTTAAGGAGAAAGTTTATTTTTCCAACTAATGAGTGTAACGTGCAGTGCATGCATAGTATGACAATACTGCAAGGTTACTCAGGGTTTAGATACAGGGTTATGCCAATATGGCTTTTAGGAAAACCAGGAATAGAAACACAAAATTACAATTAAATCGAAAACCACTGTTAAGCTAGTCATACATACGGTAGTATTTTTTTATTCAGCCAGGACTCTGAGAAAAAAAAAAAAGATTCCTTCATTCTCACAAGCTAGCATGACATTGTATTCTGACAGTGGCATCTACTACTGTCAGAATACACTGATCAGTGTCTGCAGCTGCTAATTAACAACTGGACATCGAGACGGTTTTACCCCCTTCATGACCAGGGCATTTTTTTTCTGCTATTCAACACTGTGCTACTTTAACTGGCAATGCAGCACTCTACCCAAGTGAATTTTTTTATAATTTTATATTAAGAAAAAATTTGTAGCATGTCCCTTTGGCAGACAATCAACTTCTGTCAAGAGGGGATGCCACATACACTAATCGAAATTTAGCCTGTCCTGATGAACCCTATCACATTTCGATCAATGTATGGCCAGCTTTAGATGATTTCACATCAGCATGCAGAGATGTATGGTAATGTGAATTTTAGTGAAAGTCGGGAAAAGGTCTGCTTTAAATAAATAAAGATTATACAAATAAATGACCAGATCAGCTGCAGGGTTGTAGACACTGTGCCTATTCAGTAAAGAGATTTTTTCTTGGACTTGTCACTTTATAAATCTGCAAACAATGTTTCAATTGAAAAATCTGATCACTTAGCAACTATTCTCACATTTTGTTTCCCTTTTATAAAGGTGGCAGCCTCTATTATTCTATATTTTTTTAATTCATGAAAGTGGTCACCAGCATGGCAAGAGATGGACAAGTACTCACTGAGATTGATCAGGAGAAATATGATGCTGATGAGAATGTCAAAATCATCTGTCTGGGAGACAGCGCAGTTGGAAAGTCAAAGTGAGTAGTGTCTGTAGTCACTATGTGAAAGTAACACATACACAGCCTCCCGCAATAAAGAGTTCCTGTTCTTACACTGGACCTGCAAAGTAACAGTCTCATTTTAATGTAACACTAGAAATTCTGAAAGAACCCTCTGCACACTGCTAATACTCTTTCCATGAAACTTTGCAATAAAAAACAGGGATTTTTAGTTCACACATATTGTAATACATAATCAACCAAGCGCAATCACCCCTAAACTATTATCAATCGGTGTATAAAAAAATGTTGTACTGCTTCACACATTCCTGTGTTCCCACAAGTAAAAAAAACCTGCATGTAGGTAAAAACAGTGCCACGCAGTACTATGTGCAAGCATTTCAATCAGTGCTTTTCATATAGTGCTAAACGCCTTCCCACATTGCATAAAAAATACAAACCACTGTAACTTAAATAAACTGAATCAATTATCCATGTGTATCAACTAATATATCTGTTTGTACCACTTTAAATATGAATGCAAAGTTACAGTGTGATTGCAATCCTGTCCAAAATTCTTAAGTGTTGAGATCTAGAAACATAGGTGAAAATATTATGACGTGTGAACCACTGTAAATAGCACCTGATTGATAAATATATGTACAAGCTATTGGGATTTGAGCACAGGTATATCTTGTTTGTTGTATTGTGGGTCAGTAGCCAGACCTAAACCTAGTAGCTTTCTCTCACCTTGTGTCTGTTTGCCCCATGTATTGCAATATGTGTGAACTAAAAATCCCTATTTTTATTGCAAAGTTTGCTGGAAAGGGTATATACCAGTGTGCAGAGGGTTCTTTCAGAATTTCTAGTATTAATATGTGGTTCCACCCCTTTAGCACCTGATAGATAAGAAAAGCTGAAAGGACTCAGGTTGTGCAGCTGGATCTTTCTTTCACTTACCATGGTTTATGGTGAGTGATATACAGAGCTGGTGTATCTATCCTGGGAGGTCTGGAGTACAGATCACTTACCTGAGAGGGGAACTGCAGGAGGAGTACAGAGGATATCAGATACTACTGACGAAGGATCTAGGAGTGATCCTGGAGGCCTAGTGGCCCTTTTGGGTTGCAGAATGGAGGTGAGGGGGCATTTTAGCCACGGAGGATAAGTGTGCTGACACCAACACAGAAATCATCACTTTCATCACTCTGCATGAGTTTTTGTTGTTTGAGCACTATTTGGAGGATTTATGAACTTTATTTTTAAATTTTGAAATCCTACATCTGAATTAGTTTGGTCACATTTTTTCACTGGTCACTTGAAGTGTTATTTATTCATGATTTATATATTATGGTACACGTATTTGATTGGCTAATAAGGCACAGGTTCTGAAAATTTATCAGGACCTCAGGTCACATAGGATTTGTACACTTATATTGGAGCACATTGTAGCACTGTATTTATATATTTTTATATAGAACTTTTTTTATATGTTGATTATATATATGTTATGAGGTTGGTTTAATTTTATCGCTGCGCTATATTAATAATTAATATGGTATATGTACTTGCCTTACACTGGTTCACCTACCGCTTTTCTGCCCGCCCACATAGGAAAGTACGTACACTGTCCACCTTTAGGCGATCCCGGAAAATTTACCTCCACCTGTAAATTGGACTTGTATTTTCTCCATCAGTTTAACCCTCACAGTTACTACCTGTTGTGCCACTTGCCTCTCCCCCTTCCCATTAGATTGTAAGCTCAGAGGGCCCTCCTAATCCTCTTGTATTAAATTGTATTGTAACTGTACTGTCTATCTTTATATTGTAAAGTGCTACAGTAACTGTTAATAATTAGTTCATTGCACTGTTTGAGGTTTCAGTTTTAAGTGTGAGCTGCTTTATATTATATATTTTAGGTATGCTCCATAAAGCGCAGGAGGATTTAATAACATATACCATCTTCACTATAAAGTTATGTGGATGGGCAGAGAACAAGTTCACATTTAGCTGTTATTCCAAAGTTCAGTAAAACATAGCAACCAATCAGAATGAGGGTTTGTTCACACCATGTTCACTGACCTGCATTTTTCTGCACCAGATCAACGCAGGTCACTGCAAGGACACATACAGTAGGAAACAATGGTTTGTATGTGCCTTGTACACACTACAATGTTGTGTACACGTGCTTGGTGATAAAATGCAACCTGTCTGCATTTTAACGTAATGCACATGAATGCATGGAACCACAATACACCTGAAAGTAAAGATATAAAAAATTGTTAGTATTTTGGCTGTTCCAGGGACCTGTCATAACAGATGACTTGAAAACAGTTGCTAACTTGCATAAAACTGCTATGTAACACCAGGCACATGAAAATGCTTTTAAAATGCACATTAAAACACATGTGTTCTGTATGCGTTAAAGTGAGCTTTTATGTGCAGCAGGAAAGGACCCTAAATCTTGTCTTGATTTGACTCCAGCAGGGTACATTCTAACTGCTTACTATACATTTTAAAGAATTACAAGGCCAGTTCACACCAATTCCTGCACTACATGGGAACACACTGCTGTCTGCAGACCACAGGGTGCCATCAATTCTTATACAATTAATAGGAATAGAGAGGAATTCATCTAATGGGGACAGCTGTCTAAGAGGGGATTTCCTCTTGCTTTCTGTGTTGTTTCCGCAAAGAAAGTAAAGGGGAATTCTCTTCAGTGCAACAAAAAAATTGAAAAGGGGTTTACACATTTCCTATTCCATTTAAAACTAAACAACTTTTAGATATCGTTTAATTTCCTGTTTTGTCTTTTCCCTATTGATGATCTTACCAATACATGCAAAATGCTAATGCATTTTAACTGTAGCCTGTGGAGCATGAAAATGGTCCTAAAATGCAGCTTGTAGAATTTTCACACAATGTACTGTTTGGTGAGAACAAGGCCACTTAAAAAATATTAGGATGCATTCACACCTGTGTGTTTTCTAAATATGCGAAAAAAACACACAGAAATGCACATTTTACCGCATTTTGGAAGCACACAATACACACGCATCACCATTGCGGTGCCATTAATTGTTAATGACACCCTAAGTGTGGTTAGCTGATGCATGTGACAAAATGTGACAAAATCGGCACTGAAAAGACACACGATGCTGCACAACTCAAAAGGTTCAGGAACTACTTTGGGGCATTTATCGAGCATAGGACAACTCATTCAATTGAATAGGCTGCCCTATGTGTGACACGAATTAGTGTGTGAAATATGCACTCACAAAAAAACTACTCTCAAGTGTAAATGGGGCTTTAAAGTGGAACTAAACCCATCTAATAATAATAATAATAATAATAATAATAATTTTAAATAATTTACATAGCTGGTGTCATAACTGATCACTTGTAGCACCATGGCAACTGCAGATCAACAGGGGCTAAGATGGCAGCTTCCTTGGCTGTAATGGATAGAAGGGTTTAGTTCCACTTTAAAGTATTTTCATCTTTGCTAACATTTTGCCCACATTGTTTAATGCAGCAAATTTTATGGAACAAAGACTGTGAGAGCCCTCAAACTGGCACTGGCACTGGAACAGGTACCTACAGGCTCTTGCATATCTGGTTCAATTCCCATTAAATCTCCCCTGGAATATGGAAATCTAGAATGCACCGATATGGAAACAACCTGCCCTCTACAACCTTCTGCCACTAATTATGTGCTGTGAAGTCTAGGTCACACTGATGAAACAGTATTAAGGAGCAGGAGACAAGAGTGAGTGGCCCCAGCTTGCTACTAATTGCGTTTTATATCCCCATTTTCAGGAGTCCCAAAAAGTTCTATGAAAAGTTTAGACCTGACATGCAGGCATCTGGAATTTCCCTGATCCACAAAGTAAATTAACATTTTTGCTACTGCCACAGTAGCATAAAGTGTTACTAAACCCACAACAGTACAATCAGTCTGTATATGCAGTAAAGCATTCTTGTTCTACTCACTGTTAATCCTTTGCATTGCGTAAAAAGGCTGTTTGATCCTTCCTTCTCTGATTCTCCCCTTCTTCTACTGTCCCCAATCCCTTTGCTGATGGTACAGAGCTCTAGGAGTCAGTGTGCACAAGCTCAGTTTAGTGTGTATTTCTAGAGAGTTTTTTTTTCTTTGGGAGAGTGCAAATGATCGGCACAGGGCCAATCAGCACTGTCCAGACAGAGGGTCAGAGGTTATGCAGCCTCATAGGACAGTCAGAGTAGAATGAGAACTCCTACAAGATTAACCAGTGCTCAGCTGTACATTGATAGAAGTCACAAGACTGCTTAACTACTGATGAGAAAAGGTATTTAGCAGTTTATATTTACTAAAGTAATTGCATTTCTATGTTCTGTGTACTGTGGGAGACCAGATATAGTGAATGCAGGCTCATGGGTTTAGTAACACTTTAAACATAGCTGGAAGAAGAAGCACTCACAGATGCCATAAATTACGATGAACCTGTCACTTCTCAGTTTTTGCCTTGCCCATCACATTATACATTGAGTATATCAGTAATTAAGTTCTTTCATTGAAGACTGGCATGGAGTAAGAAGTAGGCATTGGTCCATTCACCCTAGGATTGAAGGTTCACCAGGCATAGAGTCAAGGAGTTTCCATTTATGAAGGTAATATCAGGCATTTTGCTCTTATGCTGGACGTTAGAATACAGGTAGGTTAAGCTGGAATAGAATGCAGGACCCAGTGCTGCAAGGTAGTAATGCTAACCCCTTAGCTTTTACACATTGATGCATAAGATGTGCTTTATTTACCAGCATAAGCACTTCAGGAATGCATTATTGTCTCTTAATTGAGTTAATTCCTTTTACAGGTTAATGGAACGTTTCCTTATGGATGGATTGTATCCTTTATGATCTCAGGGTTTCTTTTAGCCCAGTCCCTCTCATGCTGGTTTTATATACTGTTCTATGTACCTTCTTTATGTTGTATGCTCAGATCTGAGCTATTAAAGTGACACTAAACTCTGGTTTTAAAAAAAAAACACATAGTTTGAAAAAGTCCCTTCTATTGTTCTCAGCCTCTTCCAAATCTCCCAATTGCTTTGGACTATGGACTGCTGTTTCTTCACACATGCCGTTGTTAACCCTTTTATATGTTGCTTCCTGCCTGTCCATAAAAGCTTAGAATGCATGTAATCCAAGTAGCAACCAAATTCCTCCAAGTGGTCACATGGAAGTCAACCATCAGCCTTCCTACAGATGTCATGTGACCTGGTTCTGTGCTGTGATATTGCAGGAAAAACAAGGGATATATTTTAACAACCAATGGGAGATGAAGAGGGAAACTTTACAGGGAGTTTATTTGACCCTGGCAAAAGCATTCTTGTAAGTGGCTTTTTTACACCATGTAATAGAAAAGGGATCTACCAACTTTTGAGGTACCCTAGTGATGCATCCAATGCAGATTTAAGATCATTTTTTAATAATACGATTTAAAATACATAGACACTAAAACTGTAAAAGACAGTGCTTCCCGGACACAGGTTACTATAACCCCTTAACCTGTGTCTTGGAAGAACTGTCCTTTTCGTGTCAGTGTCTATGTATTTTAAATAATATTAATGAAAAATGATATTAAATCTATGTTAGATTCATCATTGGGGAACCTCAAAGTCCGGTATGTCCACTTTCTGTTATTTAATATTTCATTTGGATGTGGTACCCTTTGATAATGGCCCACAGCCTTGTATTTTATAACTGGCTTTATACACAGTTATACTGTAATTGAGATAAGCTCAGAATGAACACTCTGCCTGTAATCTGAACCTAAACCAATTCTCCTCTCTTCATAAACCAAAGTATCTTCGTACAGCTTCTAATTTTTCTCTCCTGTGATTGTATTACATAGTATCAGTGCCTTCTTTAAAGTTAGCATGGTATGAGCCTAGTGATTAAACAAACTATAAAATATAAACCCATGAGCAGTTAAATAAAAATAGGAATACCAGCTCAATATAGAAAAAGTAAAGAAAAACAAAAAGCTGCCCACACCTACAGTACACATAGTCCTATAAATGTGCTACATAACAATACTACAAACAATATGCCAAAATCTATTGAAATCGTTCAATCAATTATTATTCATAATGTTTCCAAATGAGAATCTTTTGCATCAATATTCCTTATCTTCTTTTTTCATCTATAGTGCACCTCCACCATCATTAACACCAGCTGTGCCCTCAGTTGAGATTTTTGACCTCACATCTAAGTTTGGTCAAAAATAGCTTGCGTCCTTTAGGTGGACATATAGTGATGATGTAACATGAATTATATACAGCTGACACCATCCGGCTATGGGAAGTTCCCTTTGTATTCCCCTCCGCAATCTCTCTCTGGAGTGGGTCAGCTGATCAGATCCCCCTGAGGAAGCCACGTGACCCTGTGGTGTAACGTGTAGTGGAGGGGGCTTGGTGATGTTATGGCGCTTGCAGTCAGCTGACACACTCCAGGGACAGATCGTGGTGGGAAATACAAAAGGAGCTTCCCATAGCCAGATGGTGTCAGCTGTATATAATTAATGCGTGTATTATTAGGTACAATAATGCACCTGTATCATGTGAGTTGCATATTTATATTTTAATAAAATGTAAGTTTTTAATTATTAAAGTACTATTTGTCTGCCTATGTATTTTCTGCATGTATGCTGAGTGGAGGAGAATGAGTTACAAGAAGGCTCTGAAACAACACGGATGGAGAATCTCCATAGATATTACACCATCACTATATGTCCACCTCGAGGACGCAAGCTATTTTTGACCAAAATTAGTTGTGAGGTCAAAGGTGAGAACATGTAAGGAATATTGATGCAAACGATTCTCATTTGGAAGGATTATTTCAATAGATTTTGGCATATTGTTTGTAGTATTTTTCAGTAATCCAGTTTTATTGGGGGAAAATATTTCAAGTCATGTTTGAGTGGTTTTAATTATGTTATGAGAAAAGCACGGCACTGTTATTGTATAGTTGTTCATATGAGTCTAGTAATTGACTGTTGCTGAGGTCTAAAGTAAATAGTGGAACAGAAATGGGCATTGATGAATGACATAATTTTAACATTTTTAATCTTTTGAAAGTGTTTTGTATTTTACCTTAACTGCCCTGTTAAAGAGATTGCTAGCAGCTTAGTGTTGAATGATGCAAGGTTTTGGTTTAGGAAACCTTGAATGACGGAAATGGAGAGATGCAGAATTATGTGAGATATACACTTCTGACAGAGAGCACCTTTCCCATTTGCCCATCAGATTCAAGAGGAGATGCATTTATTTGCAAAGTTGTAAATCCAATTAATGGAAAAAAATCCCAGTTAGGAAATATCTTTAGTTGGTACTAAGTAATAGAGATGTATTATACTGTTTTCCTTTTTTTTTTCTTTATTAAATCTTAACTCATTACAGTCGTCCTCAGCAGCTCTCAACCTTTGCTCTGACACTTTATAAATATACCACAACTGTGGATGGCAAGACTGTCCTTGTGGGTAAGTGCCATTTAATTAACTCCTACAGTTATAGTAAAAAATAGTTTTGCTAAAGCTGTGCTTTGACATTAAGGCCCCTATCACATTGGGCAGGCCACCTACTGGGGATCTGTCCACCTACTGATCCCATGCTGATCTGAGCAGCATAGGCGGATGATAGGTCCAGGTCCTCTCATGTAATGCAGAGTGCACATGGACAGAGCCTGCTCTGCTCTATGGACTGTCGGGTGTAAACCAACTCTGCTGTCCATTTACACCTGGCTGCCCTCTTATCTGCTTAGATGGAGAGGGATGTATCCCCTTCCATTTTTTTAGCGGGCTGGAACAGATTGGAGATAGAGGTGAATGGAGTGTCTGATCAGGTGCACCTAAAAAAAAACTAACAGGTGGACCTGATTGAACCCTTGGTGTGGAAGGGCCTAACCAAACAACTCAATCCAAAGTTGAAATACATGCTGTATATGTGAACTGTCTTACCTGTTAGAATATTTGTAATTCTGCTAAATTTGCCTTGTAATTGCATCACCTTGCCACTTTACCCACCTCCCTATCACCCTGTTGTAAAACAGTAGGGAGGTAGATGTCTGTTTCTGGAGTGCCATTTATAAACATCACTTCTGAAATCACCCTTGGGCAGCCAATGCACCTATAAATGGTTGTGAATGAAGCCATTATCTGATGGCTTGGTTCACAGACACAGGGCACAAAGCTGATTCAATTGGCTCTATACCATGTGATTGCTGTGATTGACCAATAACAGTATCACTAATGAAAAACATTGCAGTGTTTGCAAATGTTTGAGCCCTCCTCTTCCTCTTACAGCAGAGGAAGTAAGAAAAAATTAATGAAAGATCATTCATAAGTTCCAAATTAGAAGCAGCAGACTCAAGGTAGAAGGAGTTTGATTGTAGGATTGCTTTTAACCCTTTCACCCACCCCCCTCCTCTCCTGCAATGCTGATTTCTATTCTGTCCTGTATTCGATTTGTATATTAAACCTTCATTTCTCCTAGATTGTAAGCTCCAAAGAGCAGGGCCATCAATCCCCTCATGTTTTGCATTGTATTGGTATTGTTCTGTCACATGTTCTGTCCCCCTTTGTAATGTACAGCGCTGAGCAAACTATTGGCGCTTTATAAATACTGTATAATAATAATAATAATTTCTTTATCCTGCACAATAGGCCTCTAACCTACTTCTCCTTATGTGTGACCTGATTCACATGCTGTATCAAATTTGCTACCAAGCTCTATGTTCTAACCACCTTAGTGCCAGCAGGTTTCTTCATTTCAAAACATTTGTGGCAAAAAAAAGGAAAACACCTTGGGGTGTCTACTTTCCAAAAAGGAATCATTTTGGAGGGTGTTTGCTCTGTTCTTGGATTTTTATTTGATATGTTTTATAATACAAAGTAAGGGAAAATTTTTTTCAAGCTTTTGATCTTTTTTTCCTTTATATAGTAAAACAAAATTGTAGAAAATATTTATTAAAGTGTTACTTAACCCAGAACAGTAAAATCAGCCTGTATATGCAGTAAAGCATGCTTGTTATACTTACTGTGGAACCTAAGGGGTTAATCTTCTGCACTGTTTGATCCTGTCTTCTCTGGTCCTCTCCTTCTTTCGGTGTCCCCCTCTTATCTCCTGATAAGACATATAGTGTGGAGAGTCACACTGCACATGCTCATTTTGGTGTGTATTGCTAGAGAGGATTTTTTTTGGGGGGAGGGTGCATGTGATAAGCACAGGGCTAAAAAGCACTGTAGAGGTCAGGGGTTCTGCATCTCCTAGAGCAGAATGAAAACTCCTCCTACATGCTTTAACATGTGATCTGCTGAACACTGATAGAAGTCACAAGAATGCTCTAACTGCTGATGTGAAAAGGTATTTAGCAGTTTGTATTTACTGAAATAATTGCATTTCCATGTTATGTGTACTGTGGGAGACCAGATATAGTGAATACAGTGACCTGGGTTTAGTAACACTTTAAATACCACCAAAAGAAAGCTCTATCTGTCCCAAACAAATTATCTAAAATTTATTTGGGTACAGTGTTGCATGATTGAATAATTGTCAGTCAAACCAGTGGCATAGCGTGGGGGTGGGGGGGGGGGGTTTGCTGGCACAGGGCAGTACTTTGGGGGTAGCACATATTTGTTCCCGTTCCCTCCTACGCCCTATTGAAAACCTGTGGCTCCATCCACCTGCTCCTCTCCTCCCCCTCCTCCTCCGATGTCAGTTCCGTCCTCCTGATCATTCTCCGGTCTGTGTTTGAGTGACAGCCGCCTCGGGAGGTGCAACTGTCCTAGAAGGAGGGGGATCCTCACACTGCTCCGTCCACTCCGCTTCCAGCATGCCTGAGCTTATCACACCGCTGTGTGTCTCTGTTACATTCTAACAGAGCCCAGGGAAGGGAACAAGCAGCTGAGCTGACAGAAGCAGAAGCTGACTGAGCCAGTAAGCCCCAGGGGATCATCTAAGTGAGTGAGAACTCACTGTCACTGTGACCAGACCCTGCCCTCTCTCTCCCTGACTCCCCCCTTTCTCTCTCTCTCCTTGGTCCCCTCTCTTTCCCCCTGCCCCTCTCTCTCCCCCCTCTCTTTCTCCTTGCCCCCACCTCTCTCTTTGCCCCCCCCTCCCTGCCAGCACTGGAAATAACTTTACCCCTGTAATAACTTTATCCACTTAAAGCGGTATTAAACCCCAAAGTAAGCATTTATCGTATTGCAGCTTACCAATTCTTAAATGTGGTGGCTGCAATAGTTTTTTTTTTTTAGATGTTCTTTCTTTTATTTACACCTGTTGATCCTGCCAGTAAGTCTGTTGTTTTTCAAAAGAACAAGCTGTCCTGCAGATTTCACAATTAGAACATTGAGACAAACCATTTAAAACTGGTAGAGGTGCTTATAATGATCTGTTTTCATTTATTTGTGTAAAACCTTTATCCCAAAAGGAAAACAAAATGTTTGCTGTAACTGCTTATGAAGTATTAGCAGGAGTTTGGCTACAAGTTGTTTAGTGTACCTCAGTCTTCTAGTGCACCTACCACCACCCCCCACCTTCCTGCCCCTCATACTGCTGTCCAAAGGTGTCTCTGTTGCTCCTTCATCCAGGGTGGGGGCGCTCTAATACAGAAGGTGTGTTACTGACCAGATCACCAGGGGAAACCTGAAAATAAAAAGCCTAAAAACAGAAAACAGATGCAGCCACCACATCTACACATTGGTAATCTGCAATATATTACATATTTGATTTTGGGTTTAATACCGCTTTAATTTGTTCCATGATATTGCTAATATTTGCACTGGAAATTGTAGCCCTCTCCATTCACAGCCTGAGCCCCCGTACCACCATGGCCCCCAGGTGAGGGGGTAAAAAAACATGAAGAAAGAAGGGACACCACTCCCCTCCTCCCATTCCCAGGTGTCACTTCTTTTTTTTTTTTTTTTTTTATATTCCAATGGTTTTTTATTAATTAAACATTATAAAACAGAGGCATTATAACACAGGGGCTATCAATTGCACAGAAAAAAAAATGCAAAATAAAAGGAAAACAGTGCTCTAACGCCAACAGGGCAAAAGGTACGCCCACGCAGGGGCTATCAATGGCACATAAGGAACAAAACATTAATGCAACTGACTCTAACAACTAAAGGCAGCTGTCCAGTCACACCAAAAACAGAGAGAGAGAGAGAGAGAGAGAGAAAGGGGGGAAAAAAGAAAAGGGGGGGGGGGGGGGGCAAAAAGCAGGGGTCCAAGAGCGCCAATATCGAACGCCATTACATCCCCAGGCTAGCCGGGGGGAGTATGGGATAGGCATATTGCAACCACGGCTCCCATATTTTCAAAAATTTATGGTGGGAGTCGTTGTGGATACTCGACATCTGCTCGTTGAGCATCATAGTAGTCATACGATCCCGCATCCCCTGAAGAGGGACAAACGGACTCTTCCAGGCCTGGGCAATTGTTCTAGTGGCCGGTAAAAATAAATAAGAAGCCAACTTCTGCTGGTGAGCCAAGAGGCCCGGTATGGGGCAATGAAGCAAGACATACCGGGCATCCCGGCGTATGGAGAGATGGAACAAGGTGAAAAGGAGGCCAAACACACGAGACCAAAAACGATGACCACCAGATGTGCAAGACATCTCCATGATGGCCACAACCCCGAAAACATTGATCACTACATCCAGGGTTAGCCCGGTCCAACTGAGCCGGAACCCAATACAAGTGTCACTTCTTTAATTCCCCCTACCTTATGTTGGGGTTAATATTAGCTGGCTGCTCTGCTATATATAAGGGCTTCTCGTTATTTACAGCCTGAGCCTCTGATTGGCTGCCTGCAGCCTTTTATTATTGGTTGAATCTGAGAAGATATCTCTTTGACTGCTGTAGTCAGAGATATCTTAGATACAACCAATATTAATAGAAAAGGCTTCGGGCAGCCAATCTGAGGCTCAGGCTGTGAGTGGAGGAACCCTTTGCATTTCCACAGCCACAGTTTGATACGGTACCAATGAAAGGGACTCAGGGAGTGCTAAAAGTCCACGGTCTAGGGCAGGGGTCTGCAACCTTTAAGACATAAAGAGCCACTTGGACCCGTTTCCGAGAGGGAAAAAAAGACTGGGAGCCGCAAAACCATTGCAACATTTAAAACAAATCCGACACTGCATATATTGCGAAAAGCGCTCTGGTCATGAAGGGGGTTTAAGGGCCCAGTAAGCAAAGGGTTAACCAGGGCCACAGTGTATCGTCATAATCACAATCATAGCCTTAGGTCAGTGGTGGGCAACCTTTTTTTTCAACTGAGCCAAATCTCGCCAAAACCACGATTGAAATTTATTTTGAGAGAAACATTTTTAAAACTGAAAATACATCCCCCATATAGTAATTCATCCCCCATAGTAATTCATCCCCCATATAGTAATTCATCCCCCATATAGCAATTCATTCCCCCTATAGTAAATTCATCCCCCATATAGTAATTCACCCCCCATATAGCAATTCATTCCCCCTATAGTAATTCATCCCCCATATAGTAATTCATCCCCCCTATAGTAATTCATCCCCCCTATAGTAATTCATCCCCCCTATAGTAATTCTTCCCCCATAGTAATTCATCCCCCATATAGTAATTCATCCCCCATATAGTAATTCATCCCCCATATAGTAATTCATCCCCCATATAGTAATTCATCCCCCATAGTAATTCATCCCCCATATAGTAATTAATTCATCCCCCATAGTAATTCATCCCCCATATAGTAATTCATCCCCATATAGTAATACATCCCCCATATAGTAATTCATCCCCCATAGTAATTCATCCCCCATATAGTAATCATCCCCCATAGTAATTCATCCCCCCTATAGTAATTCATCCCCCCTGTGTCAATTCACTTACCTTTGCTCCGCGCGTTCCTCTAGCTGTGTTTCCCGCGCCGTTCTGGTCTTCAGGGCGGACTGTGAGAGGAGAGGAGTTCGTCACGCTGCCCCCTACATCCTGACAGCCAATGTTTGGAGGAGGGAGGGGAGCGGGCGCCCGGCACATAGAAGAGCTGCATTAAAAGAGCCGCCTTGACGACCCTATTGCCTGTCACCTGGTGGGCAGTGTGCTCCGGAGCCGCAGAAAAGGTGAAAAAGAGCCGCATGCGGCTCCGGAGCCGCGGGTTGCCGACACCCGGTCTAGGGGCACAAATGACTTGCCTTGCCCCGGGCGTTGATAACCCATGCTACACCACTGAATCAAACTTTCACAGCAGTGTAAACTGAAAAAAGCCTGGTAATGAAGGGCTATATACCGACAATTATGCAGGCCATAGACGGGTCGTTTATCGGCCGAATTTTCGTCCGCACGAAAAATCGGCCTATATTCACGCCGTTAGTGGGGCAATGCCGTTGGTCGTTTTTTTGCGGATTTTCTTCTCATTTTTTTTTATCGGTCATGCTGGAAAATCCACGAAAAACGGCCGTATTTTATGAGCATTGGTGGCAGCATCCATGGCGGCAACGACCGATTTTTCATTTATCGGCTGACAATTTGGTCGATAAACAGCCCATCTATGGCCAGCCTTAGTGTCTGATGGTGTGGGCCATGCTCGTACAGACAGTGGAAACAGGGACTCTTTATACCTTTTGCAGTCCTTAATGTAAATTGAAGTGCGAGGGGACAAATCTGCTACTTTGTATAGGTCATATTCTTCCTTAATCCATTTTTGCTTCTATTTTACTTCAGACTTCTGGGATACAGCAGGGCAAGAGAGATTCCAAAGCATGCATGCTTCCTATTATCACAAGGCACACGCCTGTATCATGGTAAGCTTCACACAAGTCAACACACTGAACAGAAGGCATGAATCCTAAAGAAACAAAAGCAAAAAAAATCTTATAAATTTTAAAATAAAAAATATGAACCAGAGCAGTATAGTTTTCCTTTAATCCCTTCAGGTCTAGAGGTAATCAAAACAGTGACCAGACACAACCCTCAATATATATTTTAGCAAGCAGAAAAAAGGAAAATAATCTAAAGAAAATTAAGTGTTAGTTTATTTTACTTGTAATGTTTTTGTATATTTCAAAAATGGACCGCGCTAAGGTCACAAATTGACTAAATAAATTATGCAATCTTTGAAGTGATAACAATGAGCAAAATTCAAATACAATATTAATATTCAGTCCCAACATGTGAATAATTGGTGCAACGATGCTGTATCTTTAACGGTGATACTCCATGCTGAAATGACAAGTGCTTCACTGTGTTCACACTGGTGCCCCACATAGATGGAAACTCACCGTCATTTCATGACCACCTATCACTAGGTAAGTCACATTTGCTTTTTGGGACTATCCCAGTATGCAATCCAGTCCTGATGGCCGATATTCCTTCGCCCTTATAACCGTGCTCCTGTGCCTATGACCTTTGGAGGATTCACTGGATACACACAAGCCTGGATGAAGTGGAGTGTACAATACTGGAGTTTGAAATACAGTATCATTTGAGCCGTGGGGGTCTTTGCTAGAGTGTTGGCACCCCTGGAGGTTGTCTATGGTCCTTTTTTGCTGATTTGCACTTATTTTGGCTTTTATTATTGCTGAAAATATGAAATGCTGCCTGTGGAGGAAAGGAGCTTCCTGACATTAATGCAGTCCTAGTGGAAAGTTATTGGTTACTACCAGCAACCACGGTTATAAGGTCGAAGGAATATCGGCCATCAGGACCGGATTGCATACTGGGATAGTCTCAAAAAGCGAGTGTGACTTACCTTGAGATAAGTGGTCATGAAATGACGGTGAATTTACATCTATGTGGGGTACCAGTGTGAACACAGTGAAGCTGTGGTTTCATGGAGTATCACCGTTAAAGATTTGGATCCTCAGCTCTACCTCTGAAGAAGTGCGTGCGCACAAAACGTGTCAGGTGGAGCCCAGGACGCCGTTGACACTACGCCGCCGGTGCCACGTGGAGGCCCGGCAGCCATCTTTAATCTTAAAGGGTCAGTCATTTGATTAAACCTGCACCATTGTGAGGTTTTCCTGAACACTCCTGTTTTTCTTGAATAAAATCATTTTCATCAACCTACTACACTATGGGTTCTTTCCTGTGTCTTCTGCGATTAGTCTTTTCAGCTTCTGCAGACCCAGATTGATCCCTGCACCAGCCTTTGAGAGGAGGAATTTTCCACTTCACACACTTCTGTAAGGATTTCTGTGACCTGCTGGACCTCCATTTCGCCACACGAGGGCGCTTCATCTCTACTATCTTCAGCTCCTGCCCATTACCAGACCAGAAAAGAGAGGGGAATCTCCATGATATCATATACACATGCGTATTATTAATATGTTTCTAGTTAGTGCGCATTTCTAACTTTTGCACTGGGAATCAGCGAGCACCATTACTGGACTGTGATTTATTTATTTATTGATTTATTTATTCATTTGCTTTGGTTTCATTTATTATTTATATCTGCCCGCAATATAGTAACATCACACAGCGCTGCATTTTCTTTTATATATAAAGATACAGCACAGTTGCACCAATTATTCACATGTTGGGACTGAATATTAATATTTTATTTTGTATTTTGCTCATTGTTATCACTTCATAGATTTCATAATTTATTTAGTCAATTTGTGACCTTAGCGCAGTCCATTTTTGAAATATTTAAGATTTTGTGTTTAGTACTTTACAATTAGGACTGCTGCTATTTAGGTAACTTATATATAGTCAATTCTTTTATATATATGTTATTTTTTTCCTAAGCGCAACAGCACCCCTTTTCTTTCCAAATGTTTTTGCATAATTTTATACAATTCCAAAAATTTTCACAAATTTATTGTTCGATTTTATCTTGGTTACAGGGACCTCAAAATAAACGTATGCAAAAATGCATTTAGGTAATAAATTAGGAAACTTGACAGCTAATCAGTTTAGCGTTATTGGTTCTAAAATTGTTCTATTACCTCTACAATATGTGGGGATACCCGATACACGTTGTGTAATAGCCATTTGCGTGTGTGTGTTTTAAAGGGTTTTTAGTTTTTTAGGGTTTTTTTGTTTGCGATAATATTAAGTCAGCGACAGCTAATTTTAATGGAGAATATCTTTCCTCTGATGTCTGCTCCACCTACAGTGTAAGCAGATCAAGGGGTACAGTTCCTGATCTTACCCGACTTCTGCCACCAGGATTTTGGAGCTCTGAACCCTGGAAGTGTACAGAGCTAAGCAGTCCTGGTTTGCTTGACTCTTAAAAGATTTGAAGGAGAGTTCACTGATCTACTCCCATTATCCACCCTGACTCCCCTGCAACAATCCCAGACTCATGTAGGATCCAGGTGAAGTCAGGGACCAGGAGCAGGGGAAACAGGAGGGGAAGCAACATGATGCCTGCCAATAGAAGTAATCGGGTGGTTTTACAGCCACCCAGTCACTTGAGCATAGGTGACAGAAGCCAAAATGAAACATTGAAAAGAAACTGTCAGCTGCAGATTTTCAGCCTCTGACAGCAGTAAAAGGGTTGAAGCTGAAGTCTAGCTAAAAAAGAAAAAAAAATTCCTACAGCTTTAGTCACTTCAAAAGTTGTCTTGTGTGCAAAAGCATGTCTTGTGTGCAGGCAGCTGGACCCTGGAGGAATCTTCACTGCAAGGATGCCTGACCTCTTCCTGTCCCTGTCTAGGCTGGTAACCACTCTTAGTTGATCAATTGATCTTAGATGTCAAAGCTAAAGTTTAGCTAAACGGAACAATAAATCCCACAGCTTTTGTCACATCACTTACCTCTAAATAAAATTATACCCCATGTTGTCTTCACTGCATGGATGCATGTCCTCTTCCTGTCTCTGAACATCCGGCACTGAAGTGGTTAACCTGCTTCAGGTCTTCAGGCAGAACAGCAGTACAGATTGTCCGATGGGGACATGCCCCCTCCTTCTTCCTCCTCCATTGAGAAAAGGTCTTTCATTGATAACATAATCTGTGAATGGGGAATAGTCTGGGTAATCACAGGATCCTCTCACAGGAAGGAGGGAGCATGTCCCTGTAAGGCCGACTTTACCTCTGTTCTGCTTAAAGACCCAAAGCTGTTAACCATTGCAGTGTCAGAGGTTAAGAGACAGGAAGAGGACAGGCATCCTTGCAGTGAAGACAACATGGGACATACTTTTTTTTTTTTTTCACAGGTAAGTGATGTGACTAAAGTTGTAGGGATTTTTTTGTTCCTTTATCTAAAAACGTCAGCTTTAACGGCTAAGATTAGCTCAGAGTGGTTACCAACCTAGTTTCTGGGGTACCCTGCTGGCACTGTAAAAAAACACTCTTGGTAATTGGAGCAATCTCTGTCATATGAAGCTACACAGGAAAAAATACTTTATTGTCATTTCAAAGCAGGGACCTGCCTGGGAGAACATTAAAGTGGAGTTCCACCCAAAAGGGGAAGTTCCGCTTTAATGCTTTGTCCCCCACTCCCCATTAAGGACTGGCACCTTTGAGGAAGGGGGGGGAAGTGGGTACCCACTCCCACTTCCACTGCCATCACCTAGGCAATCGGAAGCGGAAGTTGTCCTCCCTCCCTCCCCGTAGTTTTCTGGGACACGTGACAGGTCCCAGAAGACCACGGGGCCATTCACAAAGCGCAGTGCTTCTTGCGCATGCCCAGTAGGCAGCCGACTGTGAAGCCGCAAGCTGTCACAGCTTGGTGTCCACACTAAAGAAGACGGCCAGTGAAACCAGCTGTGGTGAGGACACCACTGGACCAAAGGACAGGTAAGTGGCTGTATTTTAAGTCAGCAGCTACACTTTTTTTTTCAGCTGGAATTCCGCTTTAACTGATAAGTAGGGCTGTTGAGAAGCAGTTAAGGTCCAATATATGATATACTATTATAAATTTTTTTCTAGCCAATGACCATTTTATTTTATGTTTGAGATCTAACATCACAGAGCTATGCTTGTACAATACATAATATACAGTATGTGTTACAATGCCTTTCTGTTGAGTAAGTTTATTGCTCTTCTTTTTATACGCAGGTATTTGATGTACAAAGAAAAATTACATACAAGAACCTTACCAGGTGGTACCAGGAGCTGCGGGAATACAGACCAGAGATTCCTTGTATTGTTGTAGCAAACAAGATTGATGGTAAGTTTAAATTTTGTAATGTAGCATATCTTTTCTCACGATGCTTGAACATGTTTATCTACATTGTGCAGATGATGTATGTCATCCAATGTCTAGTAATCAATCATTACTGTCACTTTTTTGTTTTTTAGCTGATCTTCGAGTGACTCAGAAAGGCTTTAACTTTGCTAAGAAGCACAACCTGCCATTTTACTTTGTTTCTGCTGCAGATGGTACAAATGTGGTAAAGGTAATGCACATTATTAGTGGTTGGAATCTGCTGCTTTTATATCTTTAAGGATTTGTACATGCTTTACACATTTACCATTTTGTGTTTTAGTTGTTTACAGATGCTATCAAACTTGCTGTTTCTTACAAACAGAACTCACAAGACTTTTTAGATGAAGTGATGCGGGAACTGGAGGTAATGGTGATGCCCACTGAGTGTTATAATGTGCATTATTATTAAAGCTGAATTTATACGCAAATATACAAAAAACACCATATAATCCAGCTATGTGTCATCAAATCGTAAAGTTTATTTTTACAGTTGCAATAAATACCTGAATCTATTTTGATATTGGCCTCCTGTAGTCCTCTGTACAGCAAGACTGCTAGAGGAGCAGCACTTAGAGCCAATCAGGGCTTATTCCATAGTACACTTCTGTTAGTAGTTCAATGAGTGCATATGTTTACAAGAGGAAAAACACAAGGATGACACTATCACTCTACTGCTGTTCCTTCACCATCTACTTACAAGAATCGGTATGTCCTGGACCAGGTCTTGCAGGGGTCTCTGGATCACAAGACTAGCTAAAGATCATTTAAAAATAAACCTTTAGCAGGTGCAACAATTTAACTAATAACCTATAGGTCTGATTTAAGAAAAAAATGTCTTGGTCAGCACACTGTGCTAGATGGAAAATTTCTAATTACTACCCACGTCTTCATGCTGCCTGCCTCTAAGATCTCTGTATATTAGTTGACAAAATCCAAAAGAGGGTAAATGGTGGAGATTATGCTCTCTTGAGTGGATGGATTATCAAATATTGAACCTAGGCCAATGAGTACAGTAACTTGGCAAAAATGCAGTAGGCTGCTTGTCAAACTATGCCTTGATTAAGAAAGATCTCCTTTGGGACATTGTGTTGTACAGTAGCAAAGATGCAATATGAGATTAAACCCTGAACCCCTACATTGCTATGTTTTCTATTTAAATAGAGCAGGGAGAGGTTAAAACCTCAGTGAGGCTTTTTTTTGTTGCTGTCTGCATCTCATTGTGGAAATTTTCCATCACTTCCTGTCCTCTAAACAGGAAAGTTTTCCAATGTGAGGAAACTCCACTCCTATACAGATATCACTGAAATAAGTGTCCTTGTTAGAAAATGTCCCCTTTATTACTCTTCTGGTGACAATTCGAATTTGGATTTTTGATTACTTTCATTCCCAGTGACAGTGGGTCCACTAGACAAAATGGGGGGTCCGCACTAAAATCTGGCAGGAGTTCTCACCTCTCATCACTTTATAAATAGCTAAAAATGGCTTTAGATCACCTTTAATGCGCAGTTGCACTTTAACCATTTAAGTCCCTATGAATGTTTACTTTTTGTGGACCAGAGCATCATATGGGTGTATTAATTTGTTAAAGGACAAGTTCACCTTTTAAACAAAAAATAGTAAATGCACATTTTTTTAAAGGTAAAAAAATGTGCAATTATTTTTTGTTTCGGGAGCCTCTAAAGCATTGCACCAGTGATCAGCAGATCGCTGATGCCATGCAGGTCTTCCCCTAACCTGTCAGTATATTTTCTTGCTTGTACATCCCGTATGGGACAGCAGATACTCATTGACAGGAGGGCTCAATGAACTACCACGGCGCTGTTTAGTGCCATAGTAGTTAATTGAAAATTACAAGCTGACAGCCACATAGGCTGTCGGAACTTGTAGTTTTCCCAATCACAGAATACTGTGAATGAGTGAAGCAGCTGGGCGGGTGGAGTGTTTTTTTACATTTGTGACAGCTAGTATCGGGGAGAAAATCCCCCGCTAGCTGTCACAACAGGGAGCGCTGGCTGGTCCGATCGTAACATGTTACATGTTACACCCTGAATGTAAGTGTAACATGTTACGAAAGGAGAGCTTAACCTTTAAAACTTTAAATACTATTTTTTGTTTCTGTGGCTGCAGCTACATAACTTGGCTGTAATGAAGTATGACCCATGTTCTGCAGGCTCATGATCCATGTAGAAATCTTCTATTGATGCCTGGTCATCTTCGCAGCACTGAACGTTTGGCACTGCAGGGGTTACCGGCTTCGGTTTTCACATTAGAGTACATTGAAGAAGGTCCTAATGGGTGCTGTCCCTTTCTGTCCTCCCGTCAGTTGACAAAATTCCTTGTATTGTTTTCTCAGATTGTAACACATGCTGTGAATGGGGGGAGGGGAATGAATGACAGAATCCCTATTTTACATTCTGTGAAAACAATGCAAAGACCTTTGTCAGTGGAGGAGAGGACAGAAAAGGGTGGGTGCTCATTAGGACCTTCTTCAATATAATTTAGTGTTAGACCCTAAGATGTTGAAACCCACAGCACAAAAATTTCAGCACTGTGAAGAGAACCGAGCATCACAGGATTTCAGCAGGAAGCATCAGCCTGCATGACATGGAACATACCTAATACCTATACTTCAGCTTTAACAACTTTGTCTTTACTTATGATACTAAAGAGATGTTGCCATGTGTATGTATACAACTTTTTTTATATTAAGAAAATGTGTTTAGTGATATTGCCTTGCAAGGAATAAATACAAAAGGAAGCAAAATATCAAAATAAGGTCTTTTTTCCAGTTTACCAGTGTTACTACAGATACAAAGTACACATTTTTAATGTGTCCTTTTTGTTATGCCACTAAGAGGCATATTTATGAAGTAGTGAATATGACTATATCATCAATCACTGGTGGTGAATCATTCACTGTCTTTTAAAACACATGCACAAGGCAGATTTTTTTTTAGCTTTCGTTGTAGATTGAAGATGTAGACTAGAAACCCTGTCAAGTTTCATACTGCGTTTCCTCACTGGGCAGATTCTATTTGTCCTGGTGGCCTTTGCCACCAAGATAGAAAGTGATGGGAGATATAAAATTGTATAGTTGTAACAGAGTCCTTGTCTCCCGTATCCAAACTGGAAAAAAAATGATCTTGTAGTTTTTAAATAGTAGCTGTGCATAAAAAAATAAAAAAAAATCATGTAATTGAACTCTTGTGTTTATAGTATATATTCATTTAATGGTCTTTAATGTAAATAGATTATGTTTGATTTGGTATGTTACTTTTTTTTTTTTTTTGAGCTAAACCCCTATTTCCCCAATTTTCCTTACAGAACTTTGAGCTTGAGAAGCCTGATGACCAATCTCAAAATGAGGAGATCTCTGAAGACAATGAGTCACAGGACGCTGCTTGATATGCTATTTAAAACAGACTTTTGAAAACAATGCTGGACATAGGTTTCTTTGATGTTGACCAGGCCCACTACCTCCCACGCCAGCTATCACAGGAATAGGGGACAAGTTTCAGTAGCTTTTAAAAACATTGTGAAACTAAGTAGAATGAAAGGGGACTAAATTGCTTTCAACTTAAGGATGTTGTTTAACATTTTCAGAGAATGCATACCAAAAAGTTTTTTATACCTCATGGTATGGCAAAAAACAAGATATGTAAATTTGAATGGTGGAAAAGTCATCTTGTGACTGGTATAGGGAATTTCATTTTGTGGACTTGTCTGCAAAGTTTTTATTTGTGGGATGTTGTATGCAATGTCCATGTCCTTGGAAATAAGTAAGAAATATTGAGGGTAGCTTGTAACTGGACTTTTTTGTAGACACAACTTTACTGAACAAAGAATATTCAAATCAAGGGAAATATCCCCTGGCAAATAGTTTTTCTTATTATTCTTTAAAAGACACAGAATCAGAAGTAAATCAGTTAATTGGGTTTATACTGCTGCCCATAGGAGGCATCAGAAACCAAAAAACAAGAAAGTCATTGGCCAGCCGGTTGCAGTCTCTCCAATTCCCATCAGGCTTTTTTTTTGCATTCTTTATTTAAAAAAGGGTTGCATCACATACACCAAACAAAATATGAAGAAAAGTGTTGCACAGGTCTTTTTTTCACCAATAAGTACATGAGGAACATCATGTGTACATTATATGTAGAAAAGCCAATATTAACAGCCTTAGGTTTTACAGAACAACCCCAATGTCTCTGTTAACCTTAGCTTTCATTCAAGCAGATGAAGACAGTGTCTGAGAGCTGCAATTTCACCCAAGTTTCTTTCCTTTTTTTCATTGCTAAGAGACAAGGAAAAAGAATATGAATGGGGGGATTCCCCATGGTATCAAGGGAAGTAAAGTACAGAACAGAGGGGAAAGATTTTATCCATTTTTAAATAGACCTTTTAAATATGTTTAACCAAATTTTTTTTTCCTCCATTAAATTACTTCATTGCTTCACTGCTGTGTTGTGCGCTTAGGGAACTATCTTGATTGGCTAATCCCTTGCGTAGCTTCAGAAGTCGTACCTGTAACCTGTCAGACGAAAGATTTTCAGGACTTATCTGAAATGTGCACTTCAACCACTGGGCTCTGTTTTTGGTACTTCCCAGACACCTATTGCACTGGTTTGTTAGCCCCAGAGCTCTGTACAGGTCCACTGCCATCGCAAAGCCTCTTGTGTGACCCAGTCCTTAATGAATCCCTTGAGGGTTTGTCCGTGGACAAGGCAAATAGCTCCTGGAATGTGGCATTTATTTTTACTGGGTTCTGTACATGGCACTCTACAGTACCCTAGTACTGTTTGTTTGCTGCAGAACACTCTTCAGGCCTACTTCTTCAGTAACTCTCTTAGATTTAATCTTATAAGAGCATGGCACACTATTACATTTTCTCCTGCTATTGTTTTTTCCTAAAAAAAGAGCGCACAGGAGAAAAATGTGCTGCACTGCTTACTGCAGTGTTATGCTCACACTCTACTCTATATCGCCCTGCCTTTTCATTAGGAAGTAGTCTTTTCACCACTGCTCTGCTTGCAAGCGTTACACGCTTTTAACTCTGTTTGTCCTTGCTGCTGTTTAAAGTGAATTGGTCATCTCCAGACATGTAGCCTCTCCTGCTTTCAGCAGCTAGTTTGTGAGCACCAAAGAACTGCATTGTCCCTCCTCAAGGACCTGACACTGATAGCCGGGATTGTTGCCACTGCCTGAGTTTACACACTTCTCTGAGTCTTCCCTAGCTCCCTCATGTGTGGCCTCCTCCTCTGCATGATCCAGGGAGGATTTCTCTACAGCTATGATCAATTTTATGATCAAAATCACTGCCACGAGCACAGGGGCTGTAAGCCTACTTCTACACCTTTTCCTCCAGGCTCTTCTCTGTCCTTCCTGCAAATGTAGCAGTTGCTGTACACTCAG